CACTCACACACACACACACACACACACACACTCACTCTCTCTCTTTTACACACTCACACACACACACACACACACTCCTCTGACCCAAACAGAGTTAGTGTAGGTGAGCTCTTCTGCCAAGTCACGCAAAGTTGGTTTTAGCAGATAATGTGTAACATGTTGTGAATGTAAACAGACTCTGGGTGAGCGGCGGCTGACAGGCCTCACACTAAAAGCACATTATTCATCTCTCAGATAAAAGGCTTGGATTCGGATCCATCTGGGTCAGGAGATGTGTGCGTTTCATCACGCCTGTGAATCTTTTGACAGAATCACTTGTCATTTCATGAACATGTCTTCTGTTTTATCTTTTATAAACGTGTGTTTCCCTCAGCTCCAGCGTGTCTGGCGCTCATCTGGTGTTTGTTTGTTGGTGTGTGGCTGACAGCCTTCAGCACAAAGCATGAGTTCAGTCTATCTGAGCCCAAATCAAGTCAAAAGTGTGGGTGATTCTGGCAGAGTGACCCGAGAGTTCATCAAAGCCTTCGATCCAAATGGACTCTGTTTAAGCCTAAAAGAGACTGAACACATACACTGAAAAAAATGATTCATTGAATTTACAACGTTTTTTTTAAGATAAGTGGTTGCAATCAATTTATTTTAGCTTTGTTTATATTTAAATAAACAAATTTAGTTGACTAACTTCCAACATTTTTTTTATTAAATGTAGCTAAAATAAATTGTTTGCAACCACTTATCTTAAAAAAAAATGTAGTATCATTTATACAAAATGCTAGTATTATTTTAAATATTAAAATAATTAATATTTTAATTAATTAATTAATAATGCTATACATTTTGAAAATATGTTTAAAATAATTCATTGATAATATTAAGAATTAATGAATTATTTTAAATACAAATTATTTTAATAATTCATATTATTATTGATAATTTATGCTGATCTACATACTGTAGACCCCTCAGTATTTTTGTCTTGTTTTTCAGCACAAATATCTAAACGTCCTTTACTGCAGAAACAAAATTACTCAAGTTGTTTATGAAAAAAAAACTGCGAGGGGAAAACTTTTTCGTGCAGAATAAATGCAAAAAATGATGACAGAAAAAGATTACTATAAATTAAATATATTAAAAAAATAGTCTGTTGTGCAGCAGTTTATTTGACAAGAAATGCAATGTTCTGTTGTAAAGGAATTGTTACATTTTCATTTGATTACATTTTAAATGTATTTATTTGATTCGACATGCTTTCAGATGATTATCATTAAACCCATTAAAATGGAAACCAGAAAAAAGAAAAGGGAAAACACCGAATCGGTGTGAAATGCTACGTTTCTTCCGATGTTTCCCGAGGATCAGAGCCGTGTTCTTCTGCACACCTGAAGCTAAATCATCGTCACGGACTGGTCTCTAGAAAACCCTTCAATCTAATAATGGAGGAGTTATATAACCTGCTCTTTCTGATTTGTGACGATGCTGGCATTAATCCGGCGTCTGGGTGAAGATGGAGTTCTGGAGCTTCACTCTCATCCCGAGCGTCTGCAGGTCTTTCTTCAAGGATTCAGCAGCGGCGCTGGGGAACGGGATTCTGTCTTTGAGCTCTTGACAGATTTCTGCAGAGTGCTGGTAGAGATGAGAAGAAGACTTGTGCAGATTCTGCTCACACATCACCGGCCAATCCACCTCAAACACCACACACACCAGGAACAGCGAATTATTACACATAATACAGGCTTGAAATACATCAAACAACAACAAGCAATAGAGCGGAAATGTAAAAAATCACATAAAAAAAATATATAATTTTTTTTTTAAATTAATTACAAGTATTTTAATTTTGCATAACATAAATGAAACATAATATTTTTAGGACCAGATGTGCATAGTAAGATTTTTTGCATTTTGACATTATTCTCACACATACAACTACAGTTGTGGCCAAAATATTACATAAACTTTGCAGGATCTGCAAAATGTTAATTATTTTACCAAAATCAGAGGGATCATACAAAATGCATGTTATTGTTTATTTAGTGCTGAGCTGAATAAGATATTTCACATGAAAGATGTTTACAAATAGTCCACAAGAAAAAAAAAAAAAGTAAAAATGAGCCGTTCAAAAGTTTTCACCCCCTTGACTCTTAACACTGTGTTGTTGTCTGAATGATCCACAGCTAGGCACAGTTTGTGTTTAGTGATAGTTGTTCATGAGTCCCTTGTTTGTTCTGAACAGTTAAACTCCTGCTGTTCTTCAGAACCCCCCCCCCAGCTCACACACATTCTGTGGTTTTGCAGCGTTTGTGTGTGTTTGAACCCGTTCCAGCAGTGACTGTGATTCTGAGATGCATGTTTTCACACCGAGGACGACTGAGAGACTCAAACACAGCTATTACAGAAGCTTCAGACGCTTGCTCGCTGATGCTGCAGAAGAAGAAACCATGCATTAAGAGCCCAGGGTCAACTAAATAAAAAATAACATGCATTTTCTATGATCCCTCTTATTTTGGTCAAATAATTAACATTTTGCAGAAACTAAAATTAGCACAAATTACAGGCAGCAAATACTAATACTTAATATTGTATTATTTATTTTGCAATTACAGTAATAAGAAAGATTTTTTGGGCCGGTTTAGAATTTTAAAAAATGTAAAATCTGCTGAATTATCATTATATCACGATGCAAAAGTTTTGCAGCGATCTGTGAGGTCGTTTTCTGAGTACATCAGTATTAAAACACTGCAGAAGATCTGATTTGTATATATTTTATGATAATTATGTGCCTTGATCATGAATTAATGACAGCAACAGCACGCCTGTCAGTATAATAAACCACCAGAGCTGATCTCATATCCAGCTACAGTTCATCTAACATCTACTCAACTCCATTCTAGTTTCATTAGTTAGAGTAATGTGTATTTCACGATATCTGGGCAACAACTCGACAGTTTTTCTTCAGCTGCTGGTTTTCTGACGCACTGAAATCCGGACGGAAGCAAACGTCATCAGACGTCATTTGAATATTCATTCTGATTGGTCAGTTTAGTAATGAGAAAAACCTGTCAGCATCAAACATCGGTGCAGTTATATATACAGGTGCATCTCAATAAATTAGAATGTCGTGGAAAAGTTCATTCTGACAGACACTGGTTTCGTGAGAATCATCCAGTAATAACACTTATATTAATAACTAGTTGCCTTAGCTGTTTTATTCTGGTTAATAAGCATCATTTGAACTCACCAGTCCTTGAGATTGAATAAATTCGGCCAGTGAGCAAATGTTCTTCTTCTCCGGCTGTTTCTCCATCTCAAACGTCCGCGTCGCGTCTGTTGCTAGGAAACCAACAGCCGCTCTTCCTCGCACGCCCCGCTGGATGACGCGCAGCGCTCCGGCCGGAGGAAGTGCTCGCGGTGCGGTGCGGCGCGTCGCGTCGCGCATGTTCTACTGCTACAGCTGCTGCGCGCTGGTCGGGCTGGAGCCGCGGGACGTTCCGAGCGTCAAGGTGCGTGAAAATATCGCGTTAAACAGCGACGCATCATAACGCGCATTCATACTGGCGTCAGTAATGACTTCATTCAATATCCTTCAGGTCAGCGTCGCTTCTGTCATCATCATCTTCATCATCATTCCGTCCCAAACTGGGAAACGCGAAAGGAGAGGTTTAGCAGAATGTTCACGCTGCTCTTTACAGTCAATGAAAGTAAATGGGGACTGACGCTGTAAAGCTCCAAAATGACAAAAAAAAGACTGATTTTAATAGTAGTCATTTACCTGAATTTCCCAGAACTGAAAAACTTCTGCGGGTCTCTTCTGAGAAACTGGTCAAAATTAAATGAGTTATTAAATATCTGTCAATGACTCGCACCTTCAAGTTATAAATTACATTAAAAATAAGGCGGATAAAGAGAAGCAGAAACCTTACTGGATCTTGCACCAATAGAGCTGTTATGAGTTTCATTCCCTAAAAAGTATAAAAATGATCCAGTTTTTTGGGTCACAATGACCAGAACACAACATGAGGGTTAAAACAAGAAAAATCACATGGTTGCATACCTCGCATGA